GCTGCTGGACTAGGAAGCCTGAAGCCTTATAGTCTCCCTGGGAATTGGAGTTATCCAGTATATTCACCGACAAAAACACAGGCCAAGACCAGATTTTTCTAATATCCAGTACTTTGATACGTATCCAAAATGATTTTAATTAAAAATGTATGCGAATCTTAAGTAGACGTATGTAAAAGTCGGCAGAAACTCTCCCTCACCACAGTACATTCCTACTTGTAAAATTCCCCAAAAGTGAGGTGTTCATCGAGATAACGGCACTTTTGGAAAAATAGATCCTTTATTTTTTTTTTCTAAATTACAGAAGTTAGAAAAGTCAAAGTTGTCTTGATTCAAGAGTCCCTGGAGGCAGAATGTTTTTGTCTGGGGGGGTTTGGTATGGGTGGGGGGGGACCTGCTGGGAGAAGAGAGCAATGGGCAAGTCCTGGCTCAGGTGAAACTGGGGATCAGGCCAGGGGGCCGTGGAGCCTGGTGCAGAAAGAGGGGCCCCGTGTTTCAGTGGGTATGGCACACAGGGGCATGGCCTCTGCTTGTGGGAATCTAATGAAGGTGAGCCAGCTTCTGACATGTTCAGAGCTGCTTGTGGTTATAAAGTTGCAAAAGTGCTTTGCAGAAGCCTAAAACAGGCTTCCACTTAAATATATTTTAAGAAACACAGGTGGTATTTACGGTAAATGTTTTTTTCCCCAAACTCTGCCACCACAAGCAGCCTTCTTAACTCAAAGCAGCTACAAAAGCAGGAACCTGTTTACAGAGGTCACCCGATCTGCTTGCAGACCAATAAGGATCCCCCTTTCAAATCCCGATTTAAATTCAGTGCTACAATTAATGCTCACTAATTGAGATAAAAGGCAGCGCACCAGAGCTTTAAATCCCAGGATCCTGTAACGTCACACGCCTCGGGGGCAGCCTCCGAAGGTGAACTTCAAGACCCTGGAATTTTCTCCGGAGCCAGGACACACGCCCACAGCGGAACTGGAGAAGTGTGAAGAGTCTAATGCCAGCAAGAGCCCCCCCAGTATTCTTGCGTTTGTACAGAGGAATATCCAGGTTCCAGGTATAAGTTTAACTGAATGCGGAAAAGGAGAAAGATAGAAGCCAGCAAGAGGAAACCACTGGATACACTACACATCACGACACAGGTCAGGGTGACTTCAGGGCTAGCCAGTGCTGTCTGAGGCAAAAGTACAAACACACATCTGATCCAGTGACAGTGAATGCGCAGCGAATGTCCAGTTTCCGGCGCTGGGGGAGGGGGAAGGAGGCGTGGAGTTCTGCCCCCAGCTGCGTGTGGGGGCAGACAGGCAGTCCGGTCCGTGCGCTCGGATCACAAGAGACCACAGGGAAAGGGGTGTGAAGGTGATGCTTTTTTAATGCTTTCCAAAGAGATACACAGGCAGAAGAGCAACATCAGACTAACAGTGAAGCACAAGCGCGCCAGCCCCTCAGTGTAAGGATCCCAGTCCAGTTTCCCATCTCGCCCTCGGCACGCACAGCCCACGTTCGCAGGAGCTGTGCCGGTCATCGGGATACTCGCGCCCAGCCACTCCGGGCCTCCGTCTCAGTTTCCACAGAAAACCACCCTGCTGATTCCCCCGGTCCCTTTCAATTCAAAGCTTTTTTTTTGCTCCCACCCCATAAGGATATTGGCGTCTATAAAAAAATAAATCAGTACGAGAGAACTTCAAAAATAAATGTATATATAAAATCTTTAAGTTTTTTTTTTCCGGTTTTATCATTATATTAGATCTAGGATTCCTACCATTCTGGAGCTGCTGGAGCTCTGCGGCGCGCGGGCCAGCAGTCACCTGGCGGCTGAGGGGGCGTCTGGCCGGAGAGCCACAGCAGCGCGAGATACAAGGAGTGGGACAACACTAGGCTGCACAGAACGTGTCAAGAGGGGGGGGTAGGGGGTGCGTTGCCCTCTTCTTCCTGTTGGGGTTCTCCTCCTACAGCTGCAGCTGGTTGAAGAGGCCCGCTTCAGCACGCCAGGACAGAGCACGTCTAG